AGAGTTAAGAGTCTGTTTCTTGGTTTGCTTCTCCCCCCTCCCCACCAAGTTTGTTTTGTTTCTCAAATTCCACATATGAATGAAATCACATGGTACTTACGGGATTTGTATTTTTCTGACTGACTTATTTCGCTTAGCATAATACTCTCTAGTCCCATGCATGTCCTTACTAATGGCAAGATTTCACTCCTTTTTATGGCTGAATACTATTCCTGTGTGTATGTGTGTGTGTCTCACATATTTCCATTCATCATACGATGGGCATTTGGGATCCAGCAATTGCACTACAAGGTATTTACCCAAAGGATACAAAACTACTAATTTGAAGGGATACATGTACCCCAATGTTTATAGCTGCACAATCAACAATAGCCAAATTATGGAAAGAGCCCAAATTTCCTGTGACTTTCTGAGAACTGTATCTTGTCTCTCATTATAAACTTAGTTTGACAGTTATTCTTGTAGTTTTCTCAGTTTTTTGTTTCACAACTCTGAAAAATTCTTATTAGTTTCATAGCAATGTGTTCCTTTGGAAACTTCTTTATGATCTACTCCTTTTATCAATATGAAAAGTCCTTCATCTCTTTTAATGTTTTTTTCAATATTAACGTTGTGACATCTGATTTTTGTATATTAGCATTTGCTCTCTTTTTATCTCTTTATTCCCAATCTTCCTGTGTCATCAGGTCTGAGCTATGTCTCTTATAAATACCTTACTAGATTTTGATTTTTTTTATCCAGTATGAAAGTTCTTGGCTTTTGGGTGCCTGGGTATACAATAAGTTCAGTATTTGATTCTTGATTTTGGCTCAGGTAGTGATCCCAGGGTTGTGGGATTGAGCCTTGCATCGGGCTCTGTGCTGGGTGTAGAGCCTGCTTAAGATTCTCTCTCCCGCCTCTACCCTCTCCCCTACTCACACACTTTGTCTCAAAAATAAAAATTTTAAACAAGTTCTTAACTTTTAACTAATGAATTTAAAGCATTCCAATTTATCTAATTTCTTATCTGTTTGGAACTATTTTTGTTATTTTGTTATTTATCATATTTTCTAGTTTGTCCCTTTGCCTTCCTTTTATTAGGCTGATCATTTTTTTCTTAGTTATATTTTTCCTCTATTATTTTATAAATACATTATCTGTTTCTACCTCTTTGTGGTTACCTTAGCATTGTTAATATAAATGTTCAAGCATATTTTTCTAACATCTCAAGTTAATTAGTATCTCTAATATTCCTGAGAACAAAAAAAGGCCTAGCATACCTTCATTTCCCCCCGATCCCTTGCGACTTTTATTTCTCTCATCTTTTAACCCTCATTAATATTATTTTGAATTTTATATAGAAGTGGCCATATTTTTAAAATTAAAATATGTATATTTAAGCTTTTAAATAAACATTTATTTAGACTTAATGTATTTCATTACTCTCTTTGCTGCCCATTACACCTATTATCTTATTCCCTCCTCCTGGATTTCTTCTTATTATTGGTTTATGTTGTTTAGCAGTTCTTCCATAGAGAATCCTGAGGTAGTAAATTTCCAAGGTTCCTTTAATTCTAAAAATATACTTATTTCTGTGTCTCACTTGAATAATAGTTTTGCTAGGTGTAGAATTCTATCTTCAAAGTTATTTTCCCTTAGAATGCTGAAGATATTATTCTACTTTGTCTTCTCACATCCTGGGTTGTTCACAAGGAGTCTGATGCCAACTTGATTCTTTCTTTGTAAGTAATTTTTCTTTTGACTCTGACAGCTTTTTAAGATTTTCTCTTTATTCTTGATGTTCATAAATTTCATCACAACATAACTAGGGGTGTGTGTGTGTGTGTGTGTGTGTGTGTGTTAACTTCAATTTATCTTTTAGACCAGAGGATCTTTGAAGTTCTGAGAAGCTTTTCTATAACATTTCTTTAAATATTGCCTTTCCTTGAAATTTTCTCTATTTTTTCCTTCTGAAAGTACTTTCAAACAGCTGTTAGAACTGTATGTCATCTGTGAATCTTATTCCCCTATTTCCATGTCTTCATCTCTGCTCCTTATATGTAGCTTAGAGCTGGGGTTTCCTTCCGTCTTCTGTCATCTGCTTGTTTTTAAGGCATTTCTCACAATCTCTACTCTACCACAGTTTATACTTTTTTTCTTTCATTTTATGAAATCTTTTCTATTGTCCCCGAGGATTTGGGGTGAATAATATACATGAGGATAACAGGTATGAACGGTGCCCAGTTTGCCAATTTAAATACCTTTGTGGGTTTTGTAATATTGGTCAACCACACTCAGCACTTGTAATGGACCAAACGGAGGTTCAGCAAGGCAAGTGTAGCAGAAGAATTGGATGATGAGCTTGAGGTGCTAGTGAGTCTCAGGTTTGGAATGGCAAGCTGTCAAGACTCAGTTACTGTGGGAGTCAAAAACAGACACACAAGTGAATAAGGAGAGACTGCAAAGCTAGAGGTCATGACAGTGGATCCAATAGTAGGAAAATTGATCAGATGACAATATATAAACCTGTTTTAGAAAAATAGAACCAGAGTTTGGAAATCTCTAGTACTGAGGGGATCCAAGGGATGGTCAATCTTTGTGGGTTGCCAATGTGGGATATAGGTTATGTGGAAAAAGGAAATCAAGGAATCCTGAGTGCTGAATATTAGAAGGCTACTCATGTGGAACCTGAGATGACAAATGTGGAAATAGCTTATTTGAAAATTGCTATTATAAAAGTTGTATTTTTAAAAGGCAGCTTAGCAAATCTATCAGTAGAAAAATTGTGTGTGTCTCATTTTGTGGACTATCTGAATTTATACTGATTCTTCATATAATGAAGCAAAATTAGCTTCCTTTCTTTATTTTTCAGGAACATAGATTTTGTTATACTCTTCATATAAGATTAGTTTTGTGATATTAGACCACTTTGTCCATGTATACACATTATTTTCATTAAGGCAGCTTCCCTTCATGGTTAGAGCACTTTCTAGACATATATGAATATTCATCTCATCATAGTAGAATCCTGTTGCTCATAGGAATGGGTCTTAGTTCTCTAGTTACTATACATTTTCCCACACATGTGGTGGCCAAATTCTTGTCTAGAGAGACATGAATTATTGAAATAAATGTCAGTAGCCCCAAATTGCATCCATTTCAATTTGTACTAGAATTGAAGTGTGTAACAGAGTCCCAAAGTAACAAACATAACATAGAAAGAGCAAATTAAAAGTCTCTGTATTGACACATTGAGCATTTTATTATTTCTTACAAAATTTCAGTGTCTCTAGTACTTAGCATATAATATTGCAACATTTTTACATTGTTTTATATAACCTTCTACTGATAGTCTAAAAATGGGAAAGAAATAATTTTGCTAGCACGTACAATTGAGATGAGAAAAACCAGTGGAAGGAAATGACAGGTAATTAGAAAGTGTAACTACTCTTCAGGTATTAAATTAAAGAATTATCTTTGAAATTCAGATTGGGATTAGGAACTATAGATAAGGAATAGTAGTCAGCCTGCAGATATTTAAGCCCTAACTTGGAATCATAGTTGGTTCAAGTTACTACACTGTGCCTGAAATAGGAGTAAAGGTATGAGGAAAAGGGTTCTAGAAGTCCATGGCTTTGTCATACTGAGAATTGTCATCTTTGTGAGAATAAACATAAGTAGCCTAGGATTTTTAAGTGCTACATGAAATAAGGAATCACATGCTGAAAACCAGTAACACTAAACACCTGTTTTAGTACTGTTTTTAAAATAATGATAACTATGGTCATAATCAGTTGATGTACTTGCTGTATGCCTAGCGTGGTGCAAATCAGCTTCTGTACATCATCTCTCAACATTTAAAACCACCTGGGGAGATAAACATGGTGAAGTTCTTTTTATAGGATTAAAAGAACTGAAAAGCTGAATTAACATCTGGTGAATTTCAAGAGAATAAACAAATAATAGGAATAATTTGGGCCAAAATTTTAAAAGATATTCTGCTTTAGCGGTGTATTGGGGTGGAAGTGGGAAGACGAGAGTTGTATTTTTATTTCTCTGTTAATGAGGTTTTTTTTTTATGATTGTTTTTCTAGTTCTATGTGTTGTTCTTTTCAATTTTGGGGAATAGCAAGACTGAGACTGACAGAGGAAGTTTAGTTAGTTACTAAATTTAGTTGAGTTACTGATTCTGATTTATGAAGACTTGCATTTTAACAAGATTTACACAAAGACATTATACCAGTAGTGAAATAAGGAGCAGACTTTCCCATCTATTCCCCTTCGCAGATGAGTCACAAGTAGCTAATGGTTAGCACATTCAGAATGATTAAGTTTCATGAAGTAAAATATCTATGAAATCATGGCTGTGTACTGCCAGTGACTCGATTAACTTTTCAAAATGATTTGATTAGGACACACATTGTCATGCAATAATAAAGAACAATGTATTAAGAACATTAAAATACTTATATTATTTTTATACTAGGCTATTAGCCGAATCTCATTTTATACTTTTCTACCTTGAATATCTTACTTGTACAAAAGCAATTTTTCCTTTTGGATGGCTGCTGGGCTGTAATCTTAACATCAACACAGATAAAACAACAAAGAATTATCAGCTAAAATGGAAGGATCAAGAATGTAGCCAAAAGAATTATGCAAGATGTCTGTAAGTTAAATTAAACCAAAGATAGGACCATTCCCATAATTACATTTCAAGGAAAAAAATTCAAGTAAAGTAGTAATTGTAATCTCCCTTGGGTTTTAATTTATATTCAGGCTTCTCCTCATAAAAAATTGAACATGCAAATGGAATTAGGACATATTTTTCTTTCTATCATAGATATCGTATACAGCACAAAGACTGCAGGGTTTCTAATTTCTGTAAATAATTACTCTGTCACACAGGAGAGGTAGATATTTGAAATAAAAGCAATGAGTTGAAGATGAACAATCCTCTGGAGGACACGTGATTACCCCCTCCCCACTATATTCAGTGTGAGTCTTTTCTCTTTCCACAGAGCATCTGTACTACCACCACTGCGTTTTTGCACTTTTTCTTCTTGGCTTCATTCTGTTGGGTTTTGACTGAGGCGTGGCAGTCCTATATGGCTGTGACTGGAAAAATTAGGACACGGCTTATAAGGAAACGGTTTTTGTGCCTTGGATGGGGTAAGCATCTTAATACACCCTTTCATGCTCTTGTTGTTAAAATGATTTTGAACACATATAATGAAGCAGTAGAGTGTGATTATCCCCAAGCTACTTTTTTTGTGTCCAATTTGATAAATCGAAGTGGAAATATATGAAGCTGGTCATTTTTGCACATTCTTTGGGCATTTGGAACTTTAAAATGGAGTAAATATTGGATGACCGTGTAGCGATTCAGTTAAGCAGTGAGGTAAGAAGCAGCCTGGGATAGCTACAGGCAGAAGAGCAAAGCGTTCTGTTCTGATCCATTCTGAAAATGCAAACTGTCTTACAATGTTTAGGGCTCAAAACAGGTCCTAGTCACGTATTCCCTACAAGAAAACTTTGAGAAGTCCATTCCAAGAGAGTTCGAAACAATTAAGGACTACAGCTGCTGTCACAGGAAGAAAGTCCACTTAGAAAATGAATGAAACCGAATGGCTAGTGCATGGAGTCCTCAAAGGGCAAACGGAATTGTTGACAGACTGAAAATTAATTCATTATTTGCTTTTCTTTGTTAGGAAAAGTTTCTCTCAAATTGCCTTACAAAATGGACATCTTGAAGATCTATGCATTTCATAAGGCCCATTCTAATGTTTAATTAGAATTAATTAGTTTAATTAGAATTAGTTACTTTTAAGATACTAGTTTCAGAAAAACCTCAGGATTTTGTCATTTTTGCCTTTGAGTTCCGAAATACTTGAGCTCAAAAAATGGGGAATTTTGGACCAAATATACCACAAATACCTAATAGACCAGAAGACTGGAGAATAAGATGCTTGATGGAGGCTGAGAAATTACAAATAATTGGACTTATTACAATAACAGAATAATTCAGACTGGAAAAATAAGATCAAGATCACTTAAAGATTATCCATCAGATTTCAGGAAGGTTCTCTCATGTGTGATTAATATATAAAGGCTCTTCGCACAGGCAAATGGGAGAATGTATTCTAATATTTTACTTGCACTTTCATAAAACTTTTGTTTGGATTTCATGACAAAGACCTTCTAAAGTTAAACTGATACTGAATCAGGGGACACTTTTGTCCCGAATCAGTGCCACAGATCCAAGAAATATAGAACACAGGTAAGTGACTTTCCCTACATATAAAGAGTGGCAATTTTCAAGATTGGTAACTACCTTATTTTGTGTCATCACTAAAGATCTTGAGGAGAGGGCTCACAGCTGGTCTCCAAGTTTACAGATAATATTAAACTATTCTGGATAGAAAAAAGCTAAGGCAATGGTACTAGAATATCAGGAATTCTGGGAGTTGGCAGATTACTGGCATATGAATTTCTGTATAGCAAAGTGCAATGTAATAAATTTGGGGAAATAATTAGCCAAAATTGTACAGATTGAAGATTATTAATGCTTTAGCTATGACCCAGGAGAGAATTTTTTTGCTGATGAACTTGATATAGTCAGTCAAAAAGTCAACTGTATCTATCCGTGTGTGTGTGTGTGTGTGTGTGTGTGTGTGTGTGTGTGTATACCAGGTGGGGGGAGGACCATATTTGTTTAAAACTATGATGTGTCCCTCTGAGATGCTCTTCATATTTTTTGTCATTAAACCTCATGAAGGAATGTGATGTCACTTGAAAAGATTCACAGAAGAGAATAGCAGGAAGGAGGGGAAATGATAGGAAGAAAGAAGGTAGGTGGAGAGGACTCAAGAAGGTGATTAGGTGATGGATTTTTCAACCTGAAAAGGCAAACATCATCTTCCTGAAAAGAAGACCTCACCAAAAATTTTGTTAAAGAATTAAACAGCATGGATTAGCCTGAGCTCTGTTCACCAAAACACAGAGATGTTCCATTGAACTTGAGTAAGGTGTTAGGTCAGAAACGGCACAGGTATGCAGGCAATTGAATTCCAAAATGGACTGAGCAGTGTGTGGAGTGATACCTATCGAGAAGTCCATGAAAAGAAAATGGCATATATTTTCTGACCTTCATTCAGGATCGCTAAAAGGAAGATGATCAGGAAGCCCCAAGATTAATTCCTTAGGGCCCATAACTTTGAATCCTACACTCTTGTTATTCTAAGTAAATCATAAAGAAAGAATTACATGAATGCTTTTCTTTTTTCTGTCATATAATAAGTACAACTTGATGTGGATCAATATGGGGCCAACTGAATGTTCCACTTCTGTGATATTCCATCACAGCAGAACATCCATTTTTTGCCTTTCTGATTTTATAACTATAAATTTCCTTTATAACAGTGTAAACCCCTAGGGAAAAAATAACTTAAAAGATATACTAAATCTCTGTTATTAGTTTCCTTTAAACCCATGTCAAATGTGGTGGTAACCTAGCAACATTAGAGAAGTGCACTGAGTTAAAAACCCAGCTGTCGCTCTCATATTTTTGTACTTGAAAGAAATTTTGTAATGGAAACATACTTTGTGAAGGAATTCATCCAAAGGTAGTTCCTTCTATGTAAGCATTTTGAGTCTGTCCTAGCTTTCCTTAAGCCAGAATGCTCAGTGGTTACAGCTGAATGTGAAGTGTGACAATGTTTTTCTTGCAGGTTTACCAGCATTAGTAGTGGCCACATCAGTAGGCTTCACAAGGACAAAAGGATATGGCACTGATCACTAGTAAGTCCATCCACAGTGATAAATCATGTTTATAATTAAGTAAATCATCATCTATGCTTCATTAGTCTTGGTTGGCACTGCTGATGGCTTGCATTTTGTCACAGAGTCATTAACAATGATAGAAATGTCGCTTCAGTGAGGAATGATATAAGTAGCCGAGGTGAGGAAGTAAATGCTGAAGTCCTGTTCGGAATCCTTGTTTTGATTTCCCATTTCTTCATAAGGCCAATGAATTTGATGTTTAAAATGGTTCAATATTTACTTTGTGTGTTTAATCTCAAATGCATTTTTTTAGATCTTGATAAATCTTGATATTTACCTTTCAGAATATGATTCTGATCTGAGCTTCTAATTTCACTGATGATAATGTATATTAGTATCAACAAGTTGTGAAAGATTAGCTCAAGTTGTGTTGCTATGTTAGGGTAATACTAAAACCTAAAGAAGAGGACAGTCAATAGATTACACATTAGAAACTGACCAAGCTATGGGAGAAATTAGAGGAAAGAAAGAGGGTGTGGTATCAGCCCATTGTCATCACAGCTGTATCACTGATAAATTCTGTGAGAGAATTTATAAATAAAAGTTTACATTGAAATACTTAAAATTGAAACAGTGCACTTTCATATTTTATTTCACCTGCTTTCTCAAGGTGAGGAAGCAGTCGAGAAATGGAGAAAGAGATGTATACATCTTCTTAGAAGTATAAATTTTTAAAGTGAGATTTTCTGTTTGTCTTCAGGTTTGAGATGGGCAATAGTGCTAATTAGGCCTTCTAGTGGGTTCATCCAAATGAAGACTGTGCAAAGAGACATCATTTCACTTGTCCATCCAAAAGACATTTCCAAAGAATTTAAAGAACTCATGTCATTGAGCACTTATTTTTCTTCTGCCATCTCTATTTTAAACACACAAACAATCAAAACTCCCTGATAGCATATGTTGTACAGTAGTGCTTACTACCGCACTATTACCTTTAAGCCATTACTTTTTACAGGAGTATGACTTTTGGTATAAATCCAGTATTTGAAAGGAAATGTATCAGGCATATAGAAAGAGGTAAAAATTACGGACAATATAGTTCCAACTTTCAAGGAGTTTGTGATCAAGACTGAGTATAATATAATGAGTAATATGTCAGTGTCAGTTTAAAGATTAACTCACACAAAAATATAGAAGAAATTTAGTGGCAGCCTCAGAGACACCAAACTACAGTGTTCTATCAGACTTAAGGCTTCCCCCCAGGTATTTTATTTAAAAAATGTAGATATTAAATTATCAATCCCAAAATAGGAAAGTAGAATTTTATCTGTTCACTGTTAGGACAAGGAGAGATAACTAAATGCAGACTTTGAATGCTCACATACACACACGTTTGTGTTATTTATGTATTGATACGTGTATTGCTGTGTGTGTGTGTGTGTGTGTGTAACTACTAGATTGAAATTTTTAATTAAGGTAGAATTTATGCAGAGCAGCATTCACTCTGTTAAGTATATAATTTTTGTGAGTTTTAACAAATCCCTAAGTCACGTAACCACCACCACAACCAAAATAGAAAACGTTTATCCTTAGAACCGATATAAAACAGTTATTGGTAATTGTTAATTTTAGAGGCAGCATGTTGATTTTGTGGACCTATAACTAATATTGACAGGGTCCAATGTCAAAAACAGATGCATGAAATAGTGGACGTGACTCACTGTATCAGCGGAGATGAGACATTTCCTGGTGTTTTCCTATATTCCTTATATTCCTGGACTATGCACATGCAGATGGGCCACCTTGCAAAACCGCCAGTGCCAAGCCCCGTGCCTTTTCATGCCTCTCTACTGTGAGAAAACAAATGTGCCTACCCAAATGGGTTACCATGTCAATATCGGTACAAACCTGCATCTCCTGGTGAATTTAGTAATTGAAATAAACACAGCCACACTTATTTTTATTCAAAAGCTTATCTTCACTGAATTTTCTTAGTAGTCTGGGGCAAAAGTAAAATCAGAAGGAAAAATAAGCATACAAAATATAGATTATTTGCTCCTTGCTATGATGGCTTTTAAACCAATTTCTCCCAATATCTCAATGGCCTCAAGGAAGAACACATAAATGACATACGCAAGACTCTAAAAGCATGCTGTTCTTGCTTAAAAGAGTATTTGAAAAATTTCATAATGGATATAGAGCAGCATTTTACAAAACTTACATAGTAGTCACCTTTGTACTAAAAGTCAATATAAAAATCTCACTGGAAGAGTAATTTGTCTAAAATGTTTTAACTGCCTGGAAATAAGGCATTCTAATAAAAGTTTCTTTTCTGAGAAAGGTATATAGTATTTCTCACACATCAAATGCTCTCATTTTGGCTTTTTCCACATTTTTTGTGCATTTTTGTTTAATTACAAACCTTTGAAATGTGCCCAAATTTGAACGCTAAGTAATTTGTATCGCACTTCAATGGTTAAACACTTATCACTAATTTTTGTTAGTTTTTATCTGATGTTATTTTTAGCTGCTGGCTTTCTCTTGAAGGAGGACTACTCTACGCTTTTGTTGGACCTGCAGCCGCTGTTGTTCTGGTAAACATCAAAATCAACTCATTTTGTTTTCTTATCAAAGAAAGACTACTTTGCTTCAGTTGCAGTGACAATTTTGTACTCATTATATAGAAACTGTGAAGTCCCATGTATTATTACTTCACTATTAATTAGTACTTAAATTTGAATACCAGCTGCTATTTAGTCCTTTAGTACTCTAAAGTAGTCTTATTTTGAAGACTGAAGAATATTAAATGTGCGAGGGTGGGATTTCTCTTGTACAGTAATTTCACATTTATGAAGAAGTTTGAATAAATTTTAACCAATTCTTCATCATTAATGTACACAGTCAATGACCATTTCACCTTATACTATTCTGTGTGATCTCCATCGTTGTTCGGATCTCTTAATCTTACTTAATAACTGCTGCTGCTACCAAATGTCAACAAGAAAACTTATGTCTACATGTCAAAGTTTCTCAACATCAGTGCACAGATTTTGGATGACGTATTTCTTTGTTGTGGGGCTGTTGTGTATATTTTAGGATGTTTAATAGCATCCCTGGCCTCTACCTACTAGATAGATACCAGCAGTATCCTCAAGTTGGTAAAAATCAAATATGTCTCCAGACATTTCTCAATATTCCCTGTGGGCAAAAATCACCACCCAGTTGAGAACCCCTGCCATGTTTTATGCATATGGACTTAATTTTTTTCTTTTTGGAATCACAAAATAATTCCTTTACATGTTTAATTATGGGAACATGGAATTTTCTACCAATTTACCTTTCTTTGTCTCACTTTGATATTCTTGATTACAGTACAAAACTTTCATGTCTAATAAGTCTTTAATTGAATATGTATGGGGGAAAGTGGTTTGAATTAAATACAAAGATCCACATCACTGTGCAATTAGAATTTTAATTGGAGAATTACCCTTTGGTTTCTTGAACAATTCATTGAAGAAACTGGAAACTAGCAATATCTTTCTTAATAACTCTGTGATTTTTTCTTTCTTTGAAGTTTGCTCTCTGTCCTCTAAACTATAACAGGAAGCAGAAACTGTCCATGGTTCATAAGACGAAATCTAGGCATCAGTGTTAGAGAAGAGCATAGGGAAATGAAAGCTATTAGACATATTTTTGCCTGCTGCATCGAATTCTTATTTAATCAATTGAATTGTTTCCCTAAGGTACCAAGTTAATATACATATAACCCTAAAATGGAGAAACAAAGAGTATGTGTATAATAGAAAAACCAAAGTATGGTCTTTGGAGTAGTGATGGATTCCCTCATGATTAAATTGTAGATTAATGAATCCATGGAATAACTTTTTTCTCCTAGTTCATATAATGAGAAATGTGAAGATGAGTCTTTCTCTTGATTAAATGGTATCTTGTCAGGAAGCTGTGAAGAGTGACACCTCCTAATAAGTCCCTACCTATCAGTTGTTTTTGATCTTCCTTATACCAGCAGTTAAACAGATTTCAGCTCTATATTTATTTCATCTGGCTAATGTGCTGGGGAAATGGAATTTTTCTTTTTTCTTAACTAGTCATCCTGTTTAATTTAAAAGAGACTTTTGTGAACTGCTAGTTTCAATGTAAAGGCTTCACCATTTGCATTGAGGGAACGCACCAAGATTCTGTTGATCATGGAGGGTAAGGGGCAGGAAGGCAAAAAGAAAATATTTTCCTTGATTATCTTGGTCTCAGCATTGGACTGGATTCCTTTGTCAAGAAGTGCTGGTAGGTTAGGGAACTGTGGGTGCTCATCATAAAAAGCTTCTACAAATAGACTACAGCCATCTCTACAGCTTTTTGCAGTTTTACTTGAGAGAGAAAAATGTGTGATTTCATTTCAGATGTATTATGCAAAAAGATCTCTTAAGTGAGAATAAGAGAGTCTTAGAAAATGCTGAGAAGTGTTCAATAGAACACATTATAAGAATTGGTGTAAGTTTACATCTTCTAAAGGATGCTGGTGAGTTGAATAGGCTTTCTCCTTTGACTGGAAAGGCATGGTACGTCAGAATGCTCCCCAACCCATAGGAGAGATAGCCACACAGTATGAGGAATTTAGACATTCTGTTCTCATTGCTGGGGCCAATGACAAATCCTTAGCACGGTTGGCTGCCAGGGCTCAACCTAATCTGATAGTGTGAGACTGAAAATCTTTTGACTCTCAGGGTAAAACTCATTTAGCCAATTGATTTTAGTCAGGGGTGACTTAGAATGCCAGATTGACATATTATGGCACTATTTAAAAGTTAGACAATTGAATGTTAATCTTCTTGGTGTTAACTAAAAGCATGGAAATTTGATGTACTTAATGTACTTTAAAACTTTAAAGCTAACACACCACTGTTAAATTGTTCTGCTCCTTTATGCACTTATAAAATATTTGATAAGTGCTTTCTGTCACTACTATTGTAAGTTTATAATTCTGAAATGGTTATAAATTAATAAAAGAGTTTTCAGAAGAAACAGTGCCTAATTTCCTTCAATATCATTGAAAGGTCAACCTTTGTTTCTGTTTGACAGGTCAACATGGTGATTGGCATTTTGGTATTTAATAAACTTGTTTCCAGAGATGGGATCCTAGATAAAAAGCTCAAACACAGAGCCGGGTAAGCTGCAATTGGTGGATTTTGTAGGTCCATTACGAGTGAATCCCATACTCTTAATTCCAGATCAGCATTGACTGCATTTTAACTGTGCCTTGAATTTTGTTCCTGATGAACCGGTGTGTCTAGTAGAGTCTGCCATTCACGTTTTCTTCAATGTGCTATTCTTAAGTAATGCACTATCTAAAAATAATGTTCAAGACCATTAGAAAGTCTGGGTTTGTTTGTGCATATTGCCCATTTGTGAGATAAGAATATTAAGACTGGACTTAAAATACTTGTTCTTTGTTTGTTTCAAGTTTTTATTTAAATTCCAGTTAGTTAACATAGAGTGTAACATTGGTTTTGGGAGTACAGTTTAGTGATTCATCACTTACATACAACAGTGACCATCACAAGTGCCCTCCTTAATGCCTGTCACCCCTTTGACCCATCCCCTGCTGACCTCCATCCCCTGCTGACCTTCATCAACCCTCAGTTTGTTTTCCATAGCTAATAGTTTCTTGTGGTTTGCCTGCCTCTATTTTTTCTTCCTCCTCCTATGTTCACCTGTTTTGTTTCTTAAATTCCATATATGAGTGAAATCATATGGTATTTGTCTTTCTCTGACTTGCTTCACTTAGCTTAATAATCTATAGCTCCATCCATGTTGTTGAAATGGCAAGACCATTCTTTTTATGGCTGAGTAATATTCCTGTGTGTGTGTGTGTGTGTGTGTGTGTGTGTGTATACCACAACCACATCTTCTTTATCCATTCATCAATTGATGGACATTTGGGCTCTTTCCATAATTTAGCTATTGTTGATAATGCTGCTGAAAGCATCAAGGTACATGTGCCCCTTCAAATCAGTATAAAAATACTTGTTCTTAGTTGAGCATTTTCAAATGCCTCCTCGTTTGAGTCACAGTGGACAGGAGGGTAGATCAAACATAATGTCCTTATGTGACACAATGGAATTGAAACAATTCCTACTAGGGCAAAAATACTAAATTTTCTTTGATTAATTTTATATATATCAGAAAATTTCTTCACATGAAACAATCACTTATGAAACACTATTCTTGTCATATATTTTCATTTTTTATGATGTTTTGACTATAAATTGTTAGGAAGAGCTATTTGTAATTTTCACATTTTAATCACTTATAAAATTTAGGAAAGCATCTCTTTTAATGTTACTGTTACTATGATATCACCACATTTAATGACTAATAACATTTCATAAGCAGATTTATAGCAGCTTTTTAAGGTTACATGGTCACCTCATCTTATGAATTTGTATAAATTTGAATGAAATCTTAATGCTTTTGAATTTCCCTTTGTATATTTTCTTATAAAAAGTTTATAGCTTTCTCCTCTCTCTTTATCTGTACCATCATGCAAAACTTACCCTACAATTGTTATTCTTTACTAATTTATACTACTATTTAATAGTCACAGTATTTGATCACTGACCAGTGAGAATTTTAAGTCCTTTATGTTTTTATAATCTTTGTAATGACTATATAAGATAAGGTAATCGAGGTATGTTTTCCCCTAGTAAAAGACTAGGTTTAATGCTTATATAAAATGTAAATATAGAAATTTAATACCATTCATATCAAGCATTAGAACTGCAATGATGTAATAAAACATCATTGGAGGTTCCCTTCAAAGCAGGGCCATCGCTTCCCACTAAGAGACTTTTTTCACTTCAGATGAGTCTCCATAGCATCTTTAGGTAAACTTGAACTTGCACAGACATTGAGCTTTATATACCTTTTGAACTTGAAGCTTTCACACTGTTATTCTTATTCTGCCATGTATGGTTGGACTTGGAGCAGTAGCTTCAGTATTTCTGTCCAGATTAATTATACAAGAATAAATTGATAATACTGACTATGAGGTATAGAAACTCATTTCTGCCATTAGTGGCATAGACACACACATATATTATTAATTGGAGGCATGGGGATTTTAGTGGTTAGGATAAAGCTTTGAGGTAAAAATGTTTTTTTTAAATAAAGCCATACTCAGTTATCTAGCTCTGCAGTTTCCTAGCTGTGTGTGTGTGTCTTTGGGCATGTTATTTCTTTCTTCTGGGGTTCAGGCTTCATACCTGTAAAATGGGGATAATCATTTTTGCTTCATAATAGAGTGTATGAAATGTAATATGTATAAAGGATTCATTAGAGTAGCGAATAGCAAGTACTCATTCAACAAATGGTGGCTATTGTTATGATGAGTTAAAGGAAGAAAATAAAGAAAAGAACCCCGATTTCTATCAATCAAGCATCTATGATTCCACCAGTCATGACCTTGAGGTCAAAAAAAGAGATGAGATCATCAGAATGAGTATAAAGCTAAGGGTTTATTAAATTTACAGTCAGTGTTTTTCCTCATTTAATCATTTTTATGTAACATCTAGTTTGATTCACATAGCTCTTTGTAAGAGATAACGTATGTTTAAGAGAAATGACAACATTGTCACATTATGAATTTAGAAATTATCCACTTTTATCTATATATTAATTTTAAAATGTTTATTTATCAAAATAGTATTAGAAGTTACATTTGTTTTACTGGCAAAATTGAACCAGTGGTTTTTTTTGTTCAAAGGCCACTGTTGGAGAAAGAAATGTTGCTATGTATATAAAAGCAGAATGTTGGTTACTGTTCAAAGCAGAAAAGAATTACCAACAAGTTAATGACTCTAGGTGTTAAGAAAGTTTTTATATAATATAAAATGCAATTTATGCAGAAGTATGCATAGATTGAAATTTGCTGTTTCAAAATGTTGTTGAAGGAAATTTTTTAGAAAATGTAAGTGTTAAGGGGCACCTGGGTGGCTCAATCGGTTAAGAGTCCGACTTCGGCTCAGGTCACCATCTCACAGCTCCAGAGTCTGAGCCCTGCATCGGGCTCTGTCCCGACAGCTCCATGCCTGGAGCCTGCTTTGGTTTGTGTGCCTCCCTCTCTCTCTGCCCCTCTTCCCACTCACGCTCTGTCTCTCTTTCTCTCAAAAATAAACAAACATTAAAAAATGTTTTAAAATATAAGTATTTGAAGCTACTTTTAGTTCACAGAGAATCAGTGAGGACAGTCATGAAGACTTCAGTGAACAATAAATAACAGAGCTAAGGAACCATTGAGCAGCAGGAAGTTAATTAACTTAACAATTGCTGCCCCTAATTGTAAATATTGACCATTTCTGATTGAAAAAAATATATATCAAGTGTTTTTATGAAACATTGTTTATTATTTAGAATCAAATATTCCTCTTCCCATTATTTTCTTTGTTTCCTCCTTTTATAATTAATTATTAGCAACTACCATGCATTTTTTTGTGCTCAGTAAACACAAATATAAAGGAATGAATGAATGAATATTTAAAAATAACACAGTGACTTGACAAGTTTTATAATACCCAAATTATATTAAGTTTTTCTAACACATAAAATATATTTACCCAAGAGGGATTGATTGCAATTAACACATCCTATATTTTTAAAAAATCGGAAATAATGAAATGATAAAATAGAATGTGTCTTTTTAGAACATCTCCAATAGAATATTTCACTTTTTTATCCTCTTTTTCTTCAGTGGAACTTTCTTATCTACTATTTTAAACTGTTTTATCTCATATACCTAAAGTTAATGAAACTACCAAGATCTTGTACACATATCTTGAAATTTTTCCAAAAGGAAAGGGTAATATTTTCTTTTCATGGAATTATTGGTATCAGTAATAAACCAATCAGGAAAATTTCTTTTTCTAAGCAAAGGAAAAGAAAATTGGGAAGGGAAGCTTGTAGACTTCAAGACTCTGCACAAGTAGAATAATCTGGGTGAAATGACTGTGTTGCTGCCCTTGTGGATATGGTAACATTTGAACTTATGGGAAATACAATTTTTTTTTAACTGTTGGCACTTCTTATTTTGTACATATAATGTCCCCTGTGACAAAGAAACCTTCCCATTGCAGCAACCGTGTTTTGCATTTAGACTATATTAATTTTTGTAGTGGTCATACAAACTGGGGGAAAATATTCTATCTCCCTGGATAAACTTTCTTTCCTCTGCTCCATATACAGCTAATAATAGAATTCCAAAAGTGCCCAACCAGTTAACATCAAATGTAGCTTTCAACAGTTACCTCTAAGGGAAGTATATATAGCCTTTTAGTCAATCACAATCAATCTCAAATAAAGAGAAATAAGCATTTCAAATACTGGCTTCAAATTTATTTTCAGGAAAGTCCCTACTTAGATCAAATTAGTTTTTCTCAAGGCCAAAATATTTGTACTGTATACGAAAATTAATTTTGAGTCATCTCTGGCTTTTCAATCTTGTTTTAGAGCCTAGAGACAAAGAGTCCTTAAAATGAGAAAGCCACATTTGTATTTAAAGCACAAATACCAAATAGCATATCTTCTCTGATAAAGGAAACAATAAATAGGTCATGTCTTTTTAATATTAATCTCATGGAAGTTAACAAGATTGAAGAAACTCAAATATATAGTTAGGGCAATTATGTGAATTTCTGCTTTTCATCAGAATAATCTATGGAGCTTTAAAAACAAAAAACAATTGCCTGCATCCTATTAAATTGGAGTCTTTGGGGTTGGGTATATATATCTGATGTGCAGTTGCTGTGGAGAATACTGGTACAGGTACTCTGTTGCAAGAAGTTTCAAACACATTGGCATGCCTGTTGAGGCACTCATGGTCCAAACTGAATAGACTATCGCTTACTTATTGTGAAAATTTGGGCACGTGTGCTAGTACATAAGTCCTGGGTTGAATCAGTAAAATGAATGATTTAGTATCATAATTTCCCACCCTCACATCTAACTCTAAAAGCTTCGATTTTTCTCATGGGGTCTACTGATCAATCTACTTACTTAATAGCTTTCAGATTTATTATCTCACCCAAGCACTATTCACAAATGAGTGCACTTCTTTAAAAGAAATCAGACATTCTGAATTATGACCATCTTAAGATGTTTCTCTGTATTGCCCCTTTTATTAACACATGTCCACTAAATATTATTTTGGGAAAACATTTATTATTTTATTTTATTTTATTTTGTTCTTATATACTTTAATTATAAATATTATAGGTCACCTATGGTTTACTGTAGGTATATTTTATTTTTTAAATATAACTTATTGTCAGATTGGCTTGCATATAACACCCAGTGTTTAAGCCAACAAATGCCCTCCTCAATGCCCATCACCTATTTTCTCTTCTCCCCGCCCCCCATCTGCCCTCAGTTTATTCTCTGTATTTAAGAGTCTCCTATGATTTGCCTCCCTCCCTCTCTGTAACTATTTCCTCCCCTCTTTTCCCCCATGGACTTCTGTTAAGATCTCAAGATATGGTATATGATATCTGTCCATCTCTGACTGACTTATTTCACTCAGCATAATACCTTCCAGTTCCATCCACGTTGCTGCAAATGGCATGATTTCATTCTTTCTCATTGCCAAGTAGTATTCCATTATATATATAAAACACATCTTCTTTATCCATTCATCAATTGATGGACATTTAGGCGCTTTCCATGTTTTGGCAATTGTTGAAAGTACTGCTGTAAACATTGGGGTCCATGTGCCCCTATGCATCAGCACTCCTGTATCCTTTGGGTAAATTCCTAGCAGTGCTATTGCTAGGTCATAGGGGAGTTCTGTTGTTAATTTTTTTTTGAGGAACCTCCACACTGGGAAAACATATATTTTAAGCATTAACTGCATAAGAGAATGGACAAGGGAAGTTTACCATGTTTTGAATTTTGAATCAAGTAATTTCGTTTTGATTTTTCATAAGAAAGTTATATAAACCAGTCATTTTCAAGGGATTCTTTTCTAAAGTAAAATGTGTGTAAAGGTTTTTGTGTGTGTGTGTGTGTGTAGCCTGACTTTGCTGCTATGAAATAGTAGATTGAATCTGAATAATTTGTATCTAAATTTACCTGCAAAATCCTCCAGACTAGAATAGACCATTTAAAATGCTGTTAGGTTGGAGTCTATGATAAAATGTTTAGAAAGAATATTTTGAACTTAATGTTAAATGCGTTTTATTAAAGCTTTCAACTATCACCCCTTGTATTATAAACTAATATTTCATCAAATTTCATCAGTCCCTATATTCAGATCACCCTAAAATATAGATAATATGTTGATGGCTATGGGAAATTTCAAAATAATGATTTTGTTGAGATGAAGGCTACATCTTCCACAAGTGATTAAAGACCTAAAATATATATCTTCCTATGTTGGACTTCAGAGACACATGTTACATTTCAGAAGCTTTTAATTGGTATGATGTGCCTTCTATAAATGACAATGAAAATCTTTGAAGCTAGGAGTCCTAAGGTGTTTGATAATTAGAGGTCTGAATAAAGGGTTTTCACTGTATGTCTACACAAACACATGCTTATGTTTAACTCAGTGTATTGGACAATTTTGATCTGTAGATACAGGGGCCATTTATGGTGTAATTGATGGATATATGCTTTGCATGCAACAAAGGCCCATTTTACTGAAAGGTAAATGTTACAAAAATAATGTGTGGTGTAATTGCATCTTTAAAACAACCTAGAGCATTCATCTTTGATAAATAAACTTTTCTGCATGAAATCGTATTAAAAGCTAACTTACAGCAGCATTTTTTTGGTGACAATTCAATATTTTGTTCTTTTTGTGGGTGTTCTGTTTGTTTGCAGTCAGATGAGTGAGCCTCATAGCGGTTTGACGCTCAAATGTGCCAAGTGTGGAGTAGTTTCAACAACAGCTTTGTCAGCCACCACCGCCAGTAACGCCATGTTAGTCCCAATCATTTACATCTTCTTGTTACAAATCTTTTACAGTGCATGTGAGACAATGCTATTGTGGAAAAAAAAAACCTCGTGTTTGCTAATATTGGAGCTAAGAGCATACTTAAATATTTATAATTAGCAACTGCTTTTATAACTATTGTGGGATTGTCTGTAAAAAATAAATAAAACTATCAAATGTTAACTGCTTTATGGTTTCCAAGTTAATGGTCTTGGTGCCACATACAAGAATGCTTTGGAGAACGGGGGTTTGGTTATTGCCTGGGGCTGACATGCAGCTACGTAATATCGCTTTCTCTGTCTCTCAACAGGGCATCTCTCTGGAGTTCCTGCGTGGTGTTGCCCCTTTTGGCTCTGACGTGGATGTCTGCGGTTCTGGCCATGACAGACAAACGCTCCATATTGTTTCAGATACTTTTTGCTGTGTTTGATTCATTGCAAGGTTTTGTGATAGTCATGGTCCACTGCATTCTTCGGAGAGAGGTAAGAAAGATAATTCCTCTGGCAGAGAGGAAGGATGGTTAGATGAGTAATTTCGCTGTTATCAAATATGATGAAAATTGTACCCCTAGAGACAGTCATTTGAAAGTCAAAGCTCAAAGGAAGCTTTCAGGCAAAGTTCAAGAGGGCTCCTTAGACTCTGAAAGTGACAGTTAAAACAGATAGGACTGTGCAAGAGAAGATGTTGCCATGGGTGCCAAGAACCTGGGAGAGTAGGTTCTGGAGAGGTCATAGGTGGAGTCAGGTCTGTTAGAGACCCTGGTGGATAAGAACATGAGTGGCATATTTTTAAGAGGCATAGTTCATAAATATAATACAATGATATCTCCTAAACCCATTCCCAAACCCCTGTTTCTATACAGTATATCCCCATTCCTTCATACTTTCATAATTTCATTTTAGAGAGAAAATGTTGAAGATTAATGAGCACTTCTTGTGTCTATACTAAATTAAGTTAAAGTTGCTAAAGATGAATGATTTTGAGATGGATATTTATTCTCAGGAAATACCAAAAATGTGCCCAGTGGAGCAGGGACAGGCAGTAATTGTCCTCAGGAACCCTAGGTCTGTAATCACAGCATTTCTCCAGGTCACGGTTGAGGTTTATTGTCAGTGGTGAGGAAAACCAGTCCTGCTTCATGAGTTGAGATGCTAACCTGCACCAAATCAACTGAGAGCAGTGACAGATGTCAGATGTGAGTTGTTTAGGGAGAAAATATTGTTTTCCAACCAGTGCAAAAATTATGCTGAGTGCTTACAAGCACTGACACAGTGTTTACAAGATTTATGAGTCATTTTAGTGTTTACTCTGGGGATGGTGGCGACTAAACCACAATGACACAGTGTCTTGCGAGTAATTTTGAGAAAATGGTCCACACTGTCATTTTGCATTATCCAGCTTGTTTGAGAACTTTATTATGATGTCCACATTGCAAAAATCCTCATGTGCATATGACTACACGCCACATGGTTTTTACAGTGATGTGTGGAGGTAACCAAAAGGTTTTTACCTGATTCACCAGATGGGGAGAACAATATTTCTGAGCTACTTCAGTAAAGTACAGTTGTCAGCAATAAACCCATACATATGTAGTCTAAGAACATTGTATGGTGAAGAGTGACTTCACATAAAGAGGGCAGTATGTCATCATTTTAAAAATCTGATTTAGCAGGGTGCGGGGTGGCTCAGTCAGTTAAGCATCTGACTTTAGCTCAGGTCATGATCTAACCATTCCTGAGTTTGAGCTGCACGTCTGGCTCTGTGCTTATAATTCAGAGCCTGGAGCCTGCTTTAGATTGTGAGCCTCCCTCCCTCTGCCCCTTTTCCACTTGCACCCTCTCTCTCTTTCTCTCCTTCAAAAATAAACATTAAAAACATAAAATCTTATTTAGCTTACAGTTGCCAAGCCTTACAATTCCCTTATCACTAATGTCTACCTGGAATATCAACATTAAATATTTTTCAAGTATTCAATTCTTTATAGACCCAAATTAAAAGTTAAGAGGAAATTGTATAATTTAGGGCTATGCTATAGCTCAACTATAGCTATCTTGTGGGTCCTCTGTGTTAATATTATCTATAATATATTTATGTAACAAAATTGTTCTAAATGAGCAGACACATGCCTATTGGATTGACAATTAAGACGGAACATTTGTGGGTTTTAAGCAAGATACATAATATATCCACATGCAATTTTCAGAAGATATTAACATTTGAGGTGTTAAAGAGGAGAAAAGTGTCCCATCTCTAAATAAGTATCTCTTTTTCTTCAGAAATAAGCTTTTCAGATAGCCCTAGGCTATGATAAAAATATTAAGGTTTTAAAGTGACAAATATCTTGATGGCTTATTACCAGATTTTTGCTGCTTACATGAAGAAAATATTTTTTTGGCACAAAAATTTATTTCCATCAGAACTTTTTCATACTTGCTAATTGAAATAATAACTGTCAAAAACATGGGTAATTTAAGAGTAATTAAATCAAATCATATAATAAATGCTTCTGTTAAAATAGATATCTGTAAATATATGTTTTCTTCTAGCGGGGAGTAAAAATATGAATATTGGTCCTGTCATGATTGCGTTTTCAATTATTCGGATTGAATAATTTTATAGCTGATAGAAGCAGAGTGTCAGAACTCTCATTCTAACCCTGAAATGAATATTTTATCCATTATTTTTGCATTGATCCTTAAAAATACCCTGTAACAGTGCTAGAAGAACACAGAGCAGATTTCTGTTATGGGGCAAGTCTCTTTCAAAATTTCTCAAAGGAAATTTTTACTGAAAATCCAAAAGGACCGTGTTTATGGGTTTTGCAAATCCCAAGGACCATCTGGAGGCTTCACGGTGTTCAGAGAAGCTCGTTTTGACCTTTTAGCTGTACATCGCCTAACACCAGCAACAGGTCTGTCTCGTACTACCTGTGATTACACCACACGAACATTAGCCGCAGCCTAAGAGAGCAGGAACGTCTTCCTGTATCCTCAGTGTCTCCTGTGAACAGACATTCCATAAAAGTACACCAAAACACATGGACTAGATAGCTACCTGTGAAATACTGGGTAATGACTCCTACCAACTACTTGAGATTTTAGGAGTATAATTTTACCTCTACTGCTTTTTTCCACTTCAAACTATTTTTCACAATAATCCAAGACAATTTGTATGGATTTTGTTTATTAAAAATGTTTTATAAGCAATGTAAGAAATATTTCCTTCCATTTGGAGAGAGACTGGATACAGGTATACTTATTTTTATTTCTATGTATTTTTGACACACAGTAACATAATTTGGTCATTTGTAGTCTTTATTGATTCTTCCAATATGAATTCAAAAGCCTTTTCCCATATTTACTTTTGCAATCTTCCTGTGAAGGAGGTGGGTGTACACAGGGGAGAAATATAGCCTTGCAGTTTGAGAAGGAGAAAAGAAACGAAACAGTATAACTGGCATTCTAAATGTGATGTATATGGGGCTTGATTTATTCTAAATGTGCCTTTGCTTTTAGTGGATCCAATTTTAAAACCAAATCATTTCAAGTCAGAAGGGAAGGGAGAAATGCTCACTTTGGTACTGTCAATTATATTCCACATTTTAAAAAAAGCAAATTGATTATTTGCATAACAATTTGTTGTGACCTTCAGAGTTGACATCTTAATATGTAAATTTCATAAAATTTGTATTCTTGAAAATACAGTTTTCTTTTTCTGGAGCAACTTTCTCTATTGAATCGCTCTAGTAGATGCCTCTGACAAAAGAGAAAACAAAAAGAGGGAATAAGGAGAAAAAACATTAAACCAAATGATTTATCACACATTACTTTAAGCAACAAAACCTAGGTCTTGAAAGCTAATATGTATAATACCTCATAAGATAGAATCTAATAGAATAAGTATAGTTGCTTCCTTCATTTATTCATCATTTCATGATTAGAATTCATTTGCATTAAGCACGTAACGACATCTACTATTTACTATTCTCCACATTGCTATGGAAATTCAAACCACACAAGTTATGAAACCTTTGAAATAGTTACTGTTGCTAGGAAACCACTTTCTTAGTGCCTGCACATTCTTCTCATCTCTCCTGTCTCTGGCTGTGCCTGGCTCTAAGACAATCTTACAGCTTAATGTCAGAGGGGGAAAATAACAAGATTGTGATACAAAATAAGCTACAATAAAACACTTCCGCTAAATGGAAGGAAAAAGGCAAGTACTTAAATAGATAATTTTGTTGTATCCATATGTGAGGGTCCTCTGGCTGCTCTGTAGTGGCAGAAGGACCAAGCTCCTCTCTTCTCTTTCCCCAGCACTGGCAGGAGGTCTACGCTGCGCCAGATGAGGTCCCAGACTCTTCATCCTACCCGCAAAGCAATTCCGTAACAAAATGCTTAAAATAAACATGAACAGCTTTTTCTTTCTTTCTTTCCCTCGTTCTCTCTTTCTCTCATTCCCCTCTACCTTTTTTTTCCTTCCAATTTCCAGTTGGTCTATTTCCATAAAGGATACAGATAAACAAAGTGATTTACGGTCACATGACAGTGAATATATAAAACAGACAAGCATCCTTACCTCCCTCATCTAAAACCAATATTCTCCCAAACCACTAAAAAAAAATAAGTGAAGCCAATAGTGGTTAAATAACTAGATGGCAATTTGAACAGAGGTTGTATTGCGTATAATATAGTTCAGATGGAGAGTTGTGTGAATCGCCAAGCCTGACCGTGTACAGGGAATTTAGGTGTGACTCATTATTACGGAATTGTGTATCTGCGCACTCCTTTACTGAAAGACAGCAGGAATTTCAGTTAGTCTTTGGAGATGATGGAGTGGGTGATAGGAGACTTCAGAACATAATGGGGTTCTGAGGGGGTAAATGAGGTTTCCCCTGAGGGGGAAAATGGGGTTAGAGGATTAAGGAAGTGAACATTTCAAATAAGGCATTTCAAGTAAGGGAAGATGGAGAGAGGTTACTAGGCATGTGGTTTCCATGGAATGGAGACTAAGGTGAATATAGAGTAGTCTTCTCTGGGACCATCTGGAGTACATGGAGGAATAAAGCAAGTGATGTGTTCCTAGACACTGAAGTGATTATTAAAAAAAAAAAATGGTTATAACTGTAACATCAAGAGAAAGGCAATACTTATGGTTGAGGGCATAACATTGATTAAGTGATATTTTAGAGCTTTCTCATTGGAGTGTTCAATGGCCATGGTAAGAAGCCACTGTGTGTCATGTCATGAAGAAGTTCAGTAGATTTTAGAAAGTTAGTGAGTGGGTCAGGGTGGAGGCTCAGGGTACTACTGATCCAAGATTTTCAGCTTGCTCAGAAGGACAAAGATTTGAGAAGGGAGTAGGTTGCTAAGAGCCTTGTCTTCGTCAGGCCGAATTCAAAGTTCAAGAAGAAAAACATGGTACTGTAGTAAAACTAGATTTTATCAGAATAGAGAATGGAAAGCACAAAGACCGACTTTAAATAGGAACATAGATGGGACATAAGCAAGGATGATATGCTTATATTACTATATACTTATTTCCAGAAATCAGCTCATTCCATTTCTTAGGCAAGGGAATATATAAATCCTACCTCTCCTTCCAGAGTGGGCTTTCCTGACTTGAGCTTAATTGCAATTATATTATGAATTGCATAATCTGCACCTGTGGTTCTCCAAGCCCATGCAGAGATCTAGGAGCTTAACAAGAGCATGAAATCAGATGAGTAAAATGACATCACTGAACGAATTGAAACACAGAGTTCATGGCAGAGATTGGCAAACACAGGCATAATTGCCAGGCAGTACCCAACCACATGGCTTGCTTCACATAATATTCTTCTGAGTATCTGGCCAAGTGAATGGGCAGTCCCCCTTCCCACTCGTTCCACTTCCCTGGGGTCTCACTTTGCAACATTGTTAAACTGGTGGCAGGAAGTCAGATAGGTCTGGAATAGAGGTTTGAAATAAATGGAAGAGTGGAGGTTATGAATTAAGATTTTATGTCCTCCCTCAAAGTGGATGGCATGAGGCTAAAATGAAATATCTTCCATGAAGGTAGAGGTGGTGGATCTGACACACAACTTCCCTCCCTCCATTTCTCATTCTTCTGCCCAAGAAATGCTGTTCTGTTTTTCAGATCACATATGTGACTTGCCCTCTAGGGAAGCTTATGTTATGCCCAAAAGTGATACCAAAAAAAGCTAAAATTCTACAACAGCTTTGAGAGTAAGTGATAGATCCTTTAGGTGTTAAAAGATTACAGTAGGAAGTCATTAGGACTGAAATTTAGGACTGAATTTTTCCTTCCAAATATAGCACACGACATACCATTTTTATTCCCTCTGCTCTCAGAGAAGTCAGGTAATACTTTCATAACATGAAGTCATTCGTGTTGCTTATGGCAGTTGGCGTAATACACACGAAATTGAGAATAATCTTATTGGTTAATTTGTGATTAAATTATATGGAATTTAATATGATTAAAAGAGCTGAGTCATTTGTTTAATATGAATCAATAGAAACAATAGTAGACACTAGATTCAGAAAAAATACAGAGGACATAAAAACCTCCCTCCCCCCAAGCTACCAAACTCAAATAATTATAAAAATGTAACTCGATTTCTTTTCTTGTCTTAAAATGATCCTCTGCAATAGGAAATCGAGAATAACTGGAGGTAAAACTGTTTTCTTAAAAGGTAAAGATTTGAGGTCTGAGCTGCTTGGTAGCTAAATACAGAGCCCATTTCAAACAGTGCAGCTCTTTCCTGTGAGGCTTCTCCGAATTGCAACGCTGCCAAACACTGCTCGGTGCTCTTCCCCAGCAATCTCTAAATCTGGCACCAGCTTACACAGTGACACTCTGCCAGCTGCCTTCAGAGTGAGGACCAACCGAGAGGCTCTCAGCTTGCTGCTCCTGAAAGGAAGCAGATCACTCCCTGTGGGGGGCAATGGAAGTGAGACACACCTCTGCACACTTCTCTGAATTCATGTCTCACCCAGGAATCCATCCACAATAAATGGGCGTATAACTTTTGCAGGAGTTTTTAGAGCAGCCCCCAGCTGGCAACAGCTAGGATAACTCTGGTGGTGCCACTGTTAGATACTTTCAGAAGACAGCCTCGATAGCATATTCTTTTGACCTCATCTTATTTTTGAAGATGTTTCTTGGCATTCGTTTTTCATTTCACAACATTACATCAAATTTCCTTTAAGTGCCCTATATATTCCAAGGCTATATATTCCAAGCAGCTATTCTTTGCTGCTCCCCCAATACTTTTTAACCCTCTGCTGGCTGTCACTTACAGTGAAAGACCTATTGCAGAGTATTATAAAGAGAGGGCATTTTGGAGGCTAGGTTTTAATTGTGCCAGAATAAGGCAAGTGTTTAATTATTCAAGACAAGTTTATTTAAAAATTATATTTACTGGTCTTATGTAAATTCCAAAAAATAATATTGCAAGATCTCAGAGTTATATAAAAATATTTAATTAAGTTGTTACCTAAAATAAGTGGCTTATTCCCCATGAGTAGTGATAAGTTAGGTGAAAAAGCTTCAATAATAAATCTGTGAATCTTCTAACAATTCTTTTTCTTCAGTCTTAATCACAAGCCAAGAAACACCAAGACTGTTATTGTCCAGCACTGTAAATATGACATTTGGCTCAGAAGATTTCAATATCGGGATGGAATAGCCCAGTATAGATTCTGTCTTTGTTTTTTGCACTTCCTTCTTGTCTAGAATTAAGACTATTTCTTATAGTCTTGCTTTTAAAAAAATTCCACTTGTTCTCCAGCAGTACAATTCACATCGATTCACCAAAGATCAAAGTCATTTTGTTTACTTGATAGAAAATTCAATTAATTATCAAAATGTTTTCAAATAGCTGCAGATACATTTTCCAGCTACTGTCTTGCCTAAAACACCCTTTTCTGTGATATGGAATATGCATTATGAAATCTAGCCTAACCATTCTTCCCTAACAGTGTTGGACAAATATTTAAAGCTAATTCATCTAGATTGCCTAAATGCACTTTTAAGATTTTGTAAAACTCAAATAGAGCATTTGGAATCGAGTGGAATTTCTCATGCAAAGCTTTCTGCATTAGAAGTAACAGAAGCCCTAAAAGTGTCAGAGAGTCTAGCACTTAAATTATAGCACTTATATGATCACTAAAATGACTTTGAATTTACTGGAGAATTTTTATGTTTTTGTTTTATATTTCTCCTGAGTAGCATTGACTGATTCACAAAGCTGACATCATTCTCTAGAGTAGAAATGCCCTTAATCCATTGTCATATTTGGGAATCTGGTAATTTAAAGTATTGATTTTGTATGTGTATGTTATGAAAAAGAGTAAGATTTCTTCAGTTTCTTCTTCAAGCAATCAGATAGTAGATTTTGAAGATAAAGTTACAGAAGTTGCTTTTCCATGTTTCATTGTCAGACAAAAATATCCTTGGCAGCTACATTCTGAAAGTCTCAAAATAGAGAGTGGTTAGCGGGGATCAGTTCAATTAATGTTGGCATTAGTAAGTGCCACTCTCATATGTTATATATGCTAGTATTTAGAAATAGATTTGAAAAAAAGTCTTCATGTGGCAAGCTCCTGGAAGGCAATATTTGGAACATATTATTTATCCACCTTTATAAAGCTACCTTTGCTCTTCTTTAACAGTTGCCTTGGGCAAAACAGAAAATTAGTGTGTACCTATTTTTCTGACAGATACACTTTCTTAGCATTTTCTCCCAATGCAAATTCCTGTGTAGCAAACAGTGATCATCTGGCGAACTCTAGACACATTACCAAATTGTTATTATTAGTGCATTACTCTATGACCTACAGCTAATACTCTTTATCTAAAAAGGAGGAGTCTGAAAGCATTTGCATCTAAAGAATCTAACTTCATCCATGTCATGTCTCTTTCAAGGGAGAACCTGGATGATTTAGTTCTAAATATTTATCTAGTTCTTCAGGAAAAATGATGAGAATAGATTTCGCTGAGCCTATGTTTATATTGATGTGTTTGAAAAAGGAAAGAGGAAATTATCTTGCTCATTTATATCAAGGAACTTCTCATTGTTTTCTTCCAGTGAATCTCAGATTTAAAAATATTAGAATCATAGGATAGAAAAGAGCTCAAAGAGCACTGAGTGCATCTCCCACTCCCTAAATTCATAGCTGGAGTGGCCGCATCACCAGGATTATAACCTAAAGTGGAAAAAAAGAAGTAGACAAGGTCTCATCATACTGGTTGACCAGTAGTCTGTGGTAGTGACTAAACCCTATATCACTTTCCAAATCTTTCATAATGGCATATGAAGTGGCTGAGAGGAGCTGAAAACAACTTAATAGGTTCAGTTTTCTTCTGGCCAATACATATCTATGCACATCTCACAGCAAAAAAAAGTGACATGATATTTTATGCCAGCGCTTTTCAAAAGTAAAGAGCATTCATTATGTGTTTACTTTGGTCATCTGTGTGATGGTATTACTGTAAAATAGCTGATATGTGACATCATCTCTGCTTGGTTTTTTAATCCAATGAAATAGATTATAATAACCTAGAAGGAAAATATCAAACCTGTGAAGCCAAAACAACAAAATATGAATAAAATGACCTTGCCATTGACTTGTAAAGAAGCAACTGTGATAATGTCTATCAATAGCTTGTTAGGAGCCTAAAGAGCCACAGGAAGTGGAAAGGATGTTGATGCAAAGGCATCATATGATCAGAATAACTCTCAATTGATTTGTGTGTTTGTTATTCATGTTTACTCACTTGTTTAATAAAGGATTTAATGTTCAAATTTCCTTGTGGTATGTGTTCTTTACACAGAATCCAGTTGTGAATAGGTATTAGGAAATTTGGTTTTGCTAAGTGATCTTCTTTTTTTTTTAAAGACAACCAGAAACAGAGTGTTTTTGTTATCTTTTTGTTTCCTTGTGTTTTGTTTTTACACCAGGGCACATAGTACTTGAATGAGATAAGAAATAGTTTCCCCAATATGATCCCTTACATGAGACATAAAGGGAAAATGCCAAATCAATTCTAGTCAGAGTTCATGGAGTAATCTCATTTTCACAATGGTTAAGGCTATTATGAAGATTATGCCATACCAAATAGTAAATCCCCCTTGAAAAACACACACATTGTTTGTAGCAGTGAAAATAAACCTGCCCTCTGGCAAGAATTACTGGTGTTCAGCCAGACACAGCCATTGTGATAACTGAGGACTTCCCAACTCCCCCCCTATAGATTATGACAAGAGATCAATTTCCTTAGCATAAAATGCAGGTATACTGGTATACATTTTAAGAAGTAAACGAAATGGGTATCAGACCATAAAACACTAACTGTGTTCTCAGTTGATTGCCAATATAGACAGTATCTTGTCATTACCAAGAGAGAAGGAAATTAATGTTTCTTCCCCACCCCCACAGGTTCAGGATGCATTTAGATGCCGATTGAGAAACTGTCAGGATCCAATCAATGCTGATTCTTCGAGTTCTTTTCCTAATGGGCATGCTCAAATAATGGTGAGTTTTTCTTTTCCTTCTGATTGTTGATTAAGTCATGACTTGTGAAGGGCATAAACAAATTTTGAGTGACATTGGCTTTAGTTCCTTAACAGACTTAGAGATACCAGATAACCATTCTCTCTGGATTGGTTAGGAGTAGAGGATCTGTTATCAGCCTTCTGGGTGTGTTGAGTATGGGGTCTCCATGAAACATCTGAGACTACCCTCATCCCTGAGAGGGATAAAAATTAGGGATAACAGTTTGTCCACAGGAACATGTTTGCTTACAGATGAGAACACTGTGGACCTTCACTTCTGGTCTTAAAGCAGTGGTACTTGGCCTTGTTTGTACATTAGAATCCACACTCCAGATCAATGAAATCAGAATCTCTGGAGTGGTATTGGTGGTTAGTATGCAACCTAAGATTAGAACCACTGCCCTCAAGTAGAAAAGGGTGGCTACAATTCCAGTAAAAGGTCAGTCATTGTACATGGGCTCCTACTGTTGAGATTAAGGGGTACTTTAGGCATGAACACTTTGGTGTCTTTTAGAAATAAGGTAAGATTTAAGGTGTGATTTGTTAAAACCAGGGCTTAGAGATTTCTTTTGCAATATATTTAATTTATATGAATGTTTTCGGATCAGGCAACATAAAATAGTCTAAACCATATACTAGTAGCTAAGACTTGAGGAGGAATAATCAATTCTGTGTTAAAAACAAATATTGAGATTTCTAATTTAAAATATAAAAAAGTTCTAAATAACATCCTCCAGTGTATGACTGGAAGAGCTTGATTAGGATGGGTTAATTTAATTTTACCGTTTAAAAAAAGTACCTGATTTACAATAAAAGTTGTAGGAAAATATGGGGATGAAACTGAACCCTAGCAAGTTGTAGACCAGCTTAGTATTGTTTAATCTTCCATTTTAATTCTTAAACCTAAAAGTGTTTTGTCAATTTGAATGAAAATGAATAATGAGAAGAGCCTAGTTTGACGATTAAGGGTTTGACAAAGCTATACTATAAGATACTACATTATAAACAATATATTCAAGGTGAATATTTGAAAATAGAAATAGCAAAGACATGTATTTAAGTATGTTTGTAATAGTGCACATTCTTTTTAAATTGTGGTTTAAGGAATTGCCTTGAAATTCTCTCCTTTTATATATGGTATCATCTCTTGACTGAAGCTGACAGATAAAGTTGTATTGCTTTATTAAAATTGTATGCCACTTTTCCACTGCTTTTATTCAACATTCGGTCTTTAGGAAATAGTCTTGAACACAATTTGATTATCCCTTGAGAAATTTCTCTTGCACAAAATAATAATCCAGTACTGCCTAGTCAGATATCTGTAAACTTTGGTTAATCTAGTTAGTAAAAGTCACTCGAGGTCTTCGTCAAATGATTCTATACCTTATTATTTCTTGTTACAGACAGACTTTGAAAAGGATGTAGACATTGCTTGTCGATCAGGTAAGAATATTTGAATTTTGGAAATATCATTAGGGATATTAAATCATTTTTATGATTTTGATCTTAAAGAAAATGCTGCAGTTTGCACATCACATATTCCTGTGGATGAATAAGGAGAATCTTCCAAAGGGAAGCATTTCAATAGCAGAATGTGGTGGAGAGAGAGGAGTCAGGGGTGAAAGGAGAATGAGGATTGAGAAACTAAGAATTAGGAAGCACAGTGACAGGAGAAAAGCATTGACTTGGAGACCTAAGACTTCCATTCCACTGCTTACTGGCTGTCAGGTGTAAGGCCAGGTTAGCCTCTTTGTGCCTCAGTTTCATCTTCTGTGGAATATGGGCTGTTGCAAGAATGAAATGGATTGTGAATGTGTGTGTGTGTGTGTGTGTGTGTGTGTGTGTGTGTGTGTGTGTGATACTGCTGCTGCTGTTATAGTCTTAGTGGGGCCCAGAAGAAACTGTGCAGTGCTCTGTGCCTTAGAGCACTAGGGCCCCATGGACAGGGTCCCTGATGGCCATCCTTAGCATGTGGCTAAATGCTCACCAGGAGTAGATGATTCAAGAGTTTCAAAGAAAACTACACGTTCATTTTTTGGATAATTCCAGTTGTTGGAAACATTTCTTTATATCACATAAAGGGATTATAACATACCTTATTTTACCTTGTATTTGTTGACTTTAGTGCTGCTTTCTAGAATAAGATTGGATATCTACTTCATCTAAATATCCAGATATTTAAGCAAATACTATTTAATCCAATTCAAGTCCTTTTTCTCCAGACTAAACAAACCATGTTTCTTCATTCATTCCTCATAGTATTTACCACCAGCAGGCATGGTCCCCCACATAGCCTCCAATTTGTCAGTAATTTTTAAATTATGGTGCCCAAATGTACACACTTGTTCAGCATTTCTCATAGTTGGCTCTTTGCTCATATTAATGTTATCTACGTTTGCATCGCATTTCAGAGCAACTGGTATATTACTACTGTCAACTTGTTATCTAAACCCCTAAGACTTTCCTCAGTAGTTGTCACAACTTTACTGGTATAGGATTGTATAAAGGCTCTGAGTTGTTTCCCTTGAAGAAAAATCTGGCCTTGCATTTATCTCCGTTTGCTAGTTTCAGGTTAGCATTCTATCCATTTGAAATTTTTTGGCATTGAAAGTTTGATAAGAATATTTTCTGAACATTTATTTAAACTGTCAATAAAGAAGTTGGATGGGAGAAGAGTGTAGATCCCTGCTGTGTTCAGGAGGGCACCTCCCACATACCCCACACTGACTCCCTTTCAGTATATTTTTCAGACTCAACTGATAAACATTAAACATCTATGCAGGCTCTGAGATTACAGAGTTGTTACAATCACAAGAATATAAGAGACTAAGTTCATATTCTCACCTCTTATTTTTAAGTGTTTATTTATCTATTTATGGGGGCGGGGGATGGGCAGAGAGACAGGGAGAGAGAATCCCAAGCAGGTTCTGCACTGTCAGCACAGAGCTAGAGGTAGGGCTCAAACTCACGAACCATGAGACCATGACCTGAACCAAAATCTAGAGTCAGATGCTTAACCCACTGAGCAACCCAGGTGCCCCCATATTCTCAGTTCTGAATTCACTGAAAATACTCAGTGTAGAGTCTGGTTCTAGCAGAGAAGTAGAACAACTGTCATAACTTGACAGCACATAGTGGACCTGGGAATGGGGCATTAGGAAACATTCTTTCTTGTTTAATATCTAAAAAAATATTGCTAAGAAATGATCTCACTGGTGTTTGGCTTCCTAAGTCTACCATTTCTGTCCTTGGAAAACTGATAAAACATTCTCCTTTGCTCCATCTGCTCTCCATAATTTCTCAAAGATCACTAGCCATGGTGCCAGCTTCCACATCTGTATTCCAAGATGGGACATGATCTGTCTGGGGTCCAGAAGCCTGAGTTTATTTAAAACAACTAGGTATTCATTTGATTCTTGTTTTCAGACCTTTAGTTTAGTTTTCTTTTAGCCTCTTTGGTGTACTCTTCACAGTTTTCCTTGACAGAGGATCAAAGTAGGAACAGAGTAGTTTTGCCCAGACCAGCAGTGTTAGCGTCATCTGGGAACTTGTTAGAAGTGTAAACTTTAGGCCCTACCCCAGAGCTACTGGGAGCTGGGGTACAGTAATAAGTGTTCTCACAAGCCATCCAGATATTCTGACGGAGGCTGAAGTTGGCAGAACCACTGTATTACACCATCCTCTCCAAGCTCTGGTCTCATCCATCAGTTTTCATCCTGCTCCTTTGTTAAATTACCGCTTTGCCCTAAACTTCATTGCATTCTGGGATTTAGTATTCCTAATACAGGCCAAGACCATTATTTTATTAAAAAATATTTTTATAATGTTTTCATATTTTGTCTGTGCCTTTTTTAACTGACCTCATCAGTAACTTTGCTCTGAGTGTTTCTAGAGATTTGTGTTCATGTACAGATAGATTCGATTTTAAAGTTTCAATGCATGGACTCTGAGTTATCTTTCTCTTTGTTGAAATTCACTTTCCTAAAGGGTAGAATGTATATCTGATCATGCAGAATATTTAGGTGCTTTTTGTTTTGTTGTGTTGTTGTGTTTTGGGTTTTGCCTTTCACAACTTAGTTAATTTCTCGTCAATGTCCTATCACTTCAACATCATGTCTGTATGTGTAGGTGGTATGCATTTGTTTATGTTTATCCAAAATTTGGATATCAATTTTAAGCAAGTCTAAGAGGTAGATTTATCTTTCATATAGAGAAGACACCACTTCATAAGAAGAATTATCTTTCCCCAAATATTTAAGATATACAATTTTTCAGTAAAGATAACTGTGTCATTTGATAAAAATGTGGTGACTTTAACTACAAATGGTATTAACTGATAAAACATTAAATGTATCTTGCATAAATACAGATTATAAAATCAATATTCAGTTCCAAAGTTTCACTTATAGTTTACAATGTATTCATAAAAGTATAAAATTATCTGTATGTCCTTAATGTCAAAAGACATGTGCCTGTGACTGCCTTTAAATTGTACTGCTATAAATTTTGAATTAATTTTTACACATTAAAAATTAATAGATTTTTTCAAGTATGTTATTTAGAATGTCATTAACTCTATTAATTTAACATAATTAGCTCGTTGATGTTTTTTATGCAAATTCTTCCTAGCAACCACAGTTCATCACTGATCTATTAAGAGGTTTGGGAATAAGTTTTTTAAAGCAAATCATTCTACCTTTTTATATAATAATACAAAAAGTTACAACCAAATTGTAGATCAATAAAAATATAGATATAAATTTAACTTGATATACAGTGTCTGAAATAGAAACCTAATACAATATTAAATATGGAATCTCAAAAGATAAAAGATATTACATGGATGATTCTTTTTCTTGAATGATGCATATTCTGCAGTAATTTTTAAAGCTTCTTTGTAGTAGGGAAAGACATTCACAATCTTCTATTTTTCAAGTTCTGCTTAATGCATAATTATGATGCTATTTGAAAATTGGATATCAATGGATAAAATTCAATATATCTGAAACTTTTCATGAGGAAACAACAAACCAAATATTTTATAGTTATCTATGCCTAATGACATTTTCAGTTATAATTGCTCTGCTTTGTACATAGAATAGCATTAAGTGTTCTGTGTGCTTTCAATACCAAAATTACCAAGGATATTTTTTCAGAATTTCATTCTTCCCTACCTCAAAACTCACAGTTGTTTACAACTAAGCATTCAAGTCTTTCTGCTACTGTTACTCATAATATATGACTTTCTTCTTGTATAGAAACTAAAGAAAAAAACTAAAATATATTCCAATAAAAAATCCTGAACCCTTCTGTTGGTTTGTTTTACTTGGTTCAGTTTCATTTTTCCCCTCTCTTACTATAAGTTAACATGAATTTTTAATTTTTCTAAGTGATTATTTTTTAAGCTTGAAATTGAATAGAGTTGTCAGAGGCTCATACAGTTTTCCCTGCTTAAAGTCAGTGGCAATTTTAATACCCCCTCAAGGGCATTTGAGCATATGGATTTATCTTATAAAGATATTCTTTTTTTCCTTCATGGAACTGAAGATGATAAATACTTTTGAACCCTGTATCTACCTTGACCATATGGACTTCACAGATAAATGGTCATTAATTTTTAACATGCATAATTTTAGAGGAATTTCTGATGTAGTAGTATGAAATTCTCATTGAATTACCTCTTTCAAGAAGTATTTTAATGAATAGAACTTGTAGAATTCTTTAGGGGAAAAGCCTTTGAGAAAAAGTAAAATTTGTGTGAATATATCCATAATTTCAAAAACTCGTTGCAGTAGATTTATGGAGAACCTTCTCTGGTAATCTGCTTTTTCCCTAAAAGCATATGCAGAGTTGTTTAAGAATAGGGTGCTGAGGGGCACCTGGGTGGCTCAGTCGGTTAAGCATCCAACTTCGGCTCAGGTCATGATTTCATGCTTCATGGGTTTGAGCCCCTTGTCGGGCTCTGTGCTGACAGCTAGCTCAGCGCCAGGAGCCTGTTTCGGATTCTGTGTCTCCCTCTCTCTCTGACCCTCCCCTGCTCACGCTGTCTGTCTCTCTCTCTCTCAGAAATAAATAAAAATATTAAAAAAAATTTTAAACAATAGGGTGCTGAGATTTTTGAAAGTACATTAATCAACTTTCCAATAAGTTTTAGTTATGGACTACCTGAGAATCAATAAACATATGAAAATATATCCAAATTAATAAAGAGTGATTGAGTAATCTGGACCATCTACAAACAATAGATATATAGTCTTTAAAAAAATTTTTTTAAATTTTTTAATGTTTATTATTGAGACAGAGAGAAACATAACATGAATGGGGAAGGGGCAGAGAGAGAGGGAGACACAGAATCTGAAGAAGGCTCTAGGCTCTGAGTTGTCAGCACAGAACCTGATGTGGGGCTTGAACCCATGAACCGTGACATCATGACCTGAGTCGAAGTCGAACACTTAACTGACTGAGCCACCCAGGCGCCCCAGATATATAGTTTCTAAATATTATTATTTTATTTTATTAAGGAAATTAGTAGAGGGACAGCAAAATACAGCAATGAAAAAATATCCACTAACTGTCTTTTCTGAATTTTTATATCCTAATTTATAGTGCTTCACAAGGACATTGGTCCTTGCCGAGCAGCAACAATAACAGGAACACTCTCTAGGATTTCTCTAAATGATGATGAAGAAGAAAAGGCAACAAATCCTGAAGGGCTAAGCTATTCAACACTGCCTGGAAACGTTATTTCCAAAGTCATTATCCAGCAACCCACCGGTATGCACATGCCCATGAGTATGAATGAGCTGGGCAATCAGTGTTTGAAAAAAGAGAACAGCGAATTGCGAAGAACTGTGTACTTATGTACGGATGACAATTTGAGAGGAGCTGATATGGACATAGTCCATCCTCAAGAAAGAATGATGGAAAGTGACTATATTGTGATGCCCAGAGGTTCTGTAAATACCCAGCCATCAATGAAAGAGGAAAGCAAAATGAATATTGGTATGGAAACCTTGCCACATGAAAGGTTATTGCACTACAAAGTGAATCCTGAATTCAACATGAACCCCCCTGTAATGGACCAGTTCAATATGAACTTAGATCAACACCTTGCACCCCAGGAACATATGCAGAATTTGCCCTTTGAGCCTCGCACAGCTGTGAAGAATTTCATGGCCTCTGAGTTGGATGATAATGCAGGACTATCAAGAAGTGAAACTGGGTCAACGATATCAATGAGTTCATTAGAGGTAAGCAACAGAATAAACCTTTCCTTGATATTTGAAATCGTTGATATTTGAGAAATTGACTCATGTGACGCTGGATTGAGAGAAAAGAGTCATATTACCTCACACAAATGTTTTAGGCATGTTGGGATTAAGATTCTAGACATACTTTTTTTTTCCAGTAGTACATCAGAATGCCCTTTCTCAAGATCATGTTTTAAAAAGGGAGTCCTCTATAATTAAAAGGATAACTATCGGTCATAATTCTTTCATAATGGGAACCAAGTAGAGCTCTCATAATAGAAAAAATAGAAGATCCTCCTGGTGTTTCTCAGGTACTAGAGATCCTTTTGGTGATTAAAGTAGTTCCTGTATGGCATTACAAACTTAAAACCAAAATCTGGGTTTTCTGTGTGAGGGCATCCATTAACAATACCAAAATTGGAATGTTTCTGTGGGGTCTTCCATTACACTAATTACAAATTCTATTATTATGTTAGGTCAATATCCTCCAGAGTAAATGTTGTGATCTTAGCTCTTGAATAATGATGACCACTAAAACTTTTTATCTTAAATTACAAACTCTCAGGAGGGATGTATATTGATCAGGTTAAGAGTCAGGACGCTCAGGTCCAACCACATTGCTTTTATAAAAAAGCATATTCCCCTCAGCTTCTTTTTTACTCATAAAGTGAAGTACAGAGTAGTCAAATGTTTTCAGTATCATTCATACTATATTTCAGTTAATCAAATAAGATCTAAGGAAAGTGTCTTGCTTTTTTGTGATATGCATCATATTACTGTTTTATAAGTGCCCTTTGTATCTTGAAATTTTGCTGAAAACTACATCTATTACATATGTTTAGTATACAATACTGGTCTATTACATATGTTCAGTATACAATACAATACATGCATTCTTTTTTTTTTTTTTTTTTTTATTTTTTTTTTTTACAAATAGTTTATTGTCAAATTAGTTTCTACATAACACTCAGTGCTCATCCCCAAAGTGCCCTCCTCCATGCCCATCCCCCCCTCCCCCCCACATCCATCAGTCCTCAGTTTTTGTCAGCATTCAAGAGTCTCTCATGGTTTGCCTCTCTCCCTTTCCCCCACCATTTCCGCCCTTCTTCTCCCGCTTGTTCCTCCGTCAAGTTCCTCCTAATCCTCCTATACGTGCAAACATATGATATTTGTCCTTCTCTGCCTGACTTATTTCGCTCAGCATAACACCCTCAAGGTCCATCCATGTTGCTACACATGGCCAGATTTCATTGTTTCTCATTGCCATGTAGTATTCCATGGTATAGATAAACCACATCTTCTTGATCCATTCATCTGTTGATGGACACTTAGGCTCTTTCCATGTTTTAGCTATTGTGGAGAGTGCTGCTATGAACATTGGGGTACATGTGCTCCTATGCCTCAGCATTTCTGTATCCCTTGGGTAAATTCCTAGCAGTGCTATTGCTGGGTCATAGGGGAGTTCTATTGTTAGTTTCCTGAGGAACCTCCACACTGTTTTCCAGAGGGGCTGTACCAGTTTACATTCCCACCAACAGTGTAGGAGGGTGCCCGTTTCTCCACATCCTCGCCAGCATCTAGAGTTCTCTGATTTGCTCATTTTAGCCACTCTGACTGGCGTGAGGTGGTATCTCAGTGTGGTTTTGATTTGTATTTCCCTGATGAGGAGGGATGCTGAGCATCGTTTCATGTGTCTGTTGGCCATCTGGATGTCCTCTTTGGAGAAGTGTCTGTTCATGTCTTCTGCCCATTTCTTCACTGGGTTGTTTGTTTTTCGGGCGTGTAGTTTGGTGAGTTCCTTATAGATTCTGGATATTAACCCTTTATCTGATATGTCATTTGCAACTATCTTTTCCCATTCCGTTGGTTGCCTATTAATTTTCTGGGTTGTTTCCTTGGCTGTGCAGAAGCTTTTAATCTTGATGAGGTCCCAACAGTTTATTTTTGCTCTTGATTCCCTTGCTTTTGGGGATGTGTCAAGTAAGAAGTTGCTGCGGTGGAGGTCAAGGAGGTTGTTTCCTGCTTTCTCCTCTAGGGTGTTGATAGTTTCCTGTCTCACGTTCAGGTCCTTTATCCATTTTGAGTTGATTTTTGTACATGCATTCTTTTTTATGTATTACAATTGTTTTAATATTCTAGATCATTTCATAAGACACTAGTTAGGGAAAGACACTAGAACTGGTTGCTTCCCCTTTCCATCAGAAATGTGATGATCACTGTATGTTCTAGTGTTCAAAAGTTCCCAGAGGCAATTATACCTCCCTACTCCTCTCAAAGCCATTCCTTCTACTACATCCACATGAAGAGATATCCTATAAGGCTAGAGTAACTTGGTGAGTGGTGTGATTTTGAGATTTTTTTTTTACCCCAACTGGACCAAGGAACTTCTAGACTAAAATGGGATCAGAATAAATTCCTAGATTTTAGATCAACTCTAAATAGAATGGTGTTTCTGAGAAGAATCATCCCTTAGAACCAAAGGATAGGAGCAGTAAGGCCAAGTTAACTCTAGAGTGCCAAGAGCTCCCACTCGACAATGCATTCCACCCTTCTCAATTAACAGAATAGCTACTATTTCTCTGTTTCTAACTGGTGTATCACAGAAACTAGCAGATCTACTCTAGTAATGACTACTACATAAGCACAAATTGCATAACGTTTATACAAAATCACAAAAGTTTCAAAAGGATTTTCAGTGAGCGTGCATATAATACTATAACACCCTAAGTAAGCATAATTATGATGTACTACACAAAAATCATAATGACCATATGGAGTCTTCTATATAGAATGGCTCTTTAAAATGAGCTACAGGGTTAGAATGGACATATATTAAAATATCTGCTTATTATAAAAATGCTTTCCATCTAAAGCCTAAAAACCCTTCTGGGTTTGAGATTGTACAGGTTGTGTGTGCTTGCACAATAGACTGAATTTCCAAGTGCTGCTTTGTTCAGTTTGTAATTTTTCCAAATCTCCGTATCCTTATTATTAACTATAAGCATCATGTGTAACTGTGATTCAGCCAGAAGATCTGCATTTAAATGACTTAGAGATCACAAGGCTTACATCTTGAAAAGGAAGAAAATTCAGGATTCAGAATGAAAATTCAGGTCCTCATTTTCATTCTTTAAAAGAATTTAATAGTAATTGCTTATGGGTAACCATTTTAGGAGACAGCTGAAAGAGAATATATAGATGTGGGAATGAATAATAAAAATTAGCATTTATATAGCATCTTTCATTAGTAGATCCTCAAATCACCTTAAAAACATGAATTAATTAATCTTCACAACACCTCTGTGCAATGGATAAGTTGTTATAATCCTTGAAGTAAAGTCATTTATTCAAGGTTACAGAGCAAGTGCATAGCACATCTAGGAAAAGAATCTTCCTGTCCTGATCAATTTTAGACTGTCTAAAAGAGACAGTAATGTGTCTGGACATTAGCAGGAGAGCAACTTTAAAGTTTCATTTTAACCCTTGACAGACACATGGTCTTATGGTGAATAAAGACATGAAATGGGTAAAGTATAGGCATACAGAACTGGCAAATTTTAGAGACAGGGCTGTAGGCCATGCAAATAAAGTGCTTTCCTTATGAGCAGAATGATGCAATGTCAGATTGAGTTATTAGCTCTGCTAGACTGTATCTGCAGAGCCAACTAGTGGGGGAAATGATGTCCTGACATTAGAGAAAAAGCCAAAAGGTGGCTGAAGTATCAGCTGAAGTATAAAGAGGAGATCAACAGTAGCCAGGAGGTACTTGGAGTCAGAAGACAATGTGAAGATGCAAATGGGTGAATATGTGAATGACATGAGGCCCAAACCATAGAACAGCTTGAATCGTCTCCCCCTCGAGTGAGAAGGAAGATGGCAGCCACAGGAACATCCAGCCTGGGCAGCTGAAGCAGCAGAAGATGGTCAGGTGCATCAGGATCCTTCCAAGGATAATAAAAAAAAAAAACAATATTCATATTAATTCAGGAAGTTTCCTCCAGAGGAGTGGGTATTCACAAATTGCCATGGTGGGAAGTAGGGGGGGGGGCAGAAAGAGAAGGTAAAAGCTGCCAGTTGTGGCACAGGATGTGATATTCATAAGGAAAAGAGAAGGCAAAGGAAAAATGAGATTTGAGGGAGAGACAAAGAAAGCCAAAGAGTGTGTGTGTGTGTGTGTGTGTGTGTGTGTGTGTGTGTGTGTGAGAAAGTGTTTATTCAAAGAAGCAGGACACAACAAAGAAAGAGGGAGGCACCTCAACCCTGAAGGCAGTGCTAGCAGAAAAGGTTCCAGCCTCCAGGGGGCTTTGTTTAGCTAGCCCTCAATTATTTATTGGGTGTAAACAAGTTTGATAAGTGCATGAACTTCCCTGGCATAAAAACATATCCAGATTTCCCCCTTCCTAATATTACCTTCTTTTTTAATGTGTGGTCTTCCATCTTCCAAACTATTTAAACAATTCTGAAAATTTTAGTTTCTAAAAGATTTAGTTTCCACAGTGATGGGATAATTATGATTTTCTTACCATAGAAATCCTCACAATGGCTCCAGCTCTCCATGTCCTTTAAGTGCTTTAAGGTTAAGAAGAATAAAATTGTCATCAGCACTTAAATCATTCACCTTCAAAAACGGGGAAAAAATGTGTTGATATTTGAAGTGTATATAAAGCAAATAACCACTAGGTGCTACAGAACAAGTGGGGGGAAATGGAGGTATTCTAGTTATCAAGCCATTGTGAGGACTATGAAACAGAGTTTAAATTTTGGATTGTGGTTCTACTTATTTTTTGAAAAAAGCCTAGAGATATCATTGTAGGAAGATAGGTATTTGCTTTTGAATCTTTGGAACAGTGGCATTTATTCCACAGCCTGTAGCTGTTAGATTTAAATAGGAAACATTTCCTAACTCAAAACTTTTCCCAGTTTCTATGCATGTCCTGGGCTTATTTGGCACATGGTCCCCTGCATCACTCATAGTTGATGCTGATTCCTGTGACTCTGGC